CTTTGTTGTTCTCATCACACTGCTTTTCATCCATAGAGTATGCCTTGAAAGGTCCCTTAACCCTCTGATTTTAGCCTCAGCATCCCTCTGTCTGTCTGGTCAAGATGAGGGTGACCTAATTGTCATTTATAAAATTATGAGACCTTTCAGCAACATTTGAAGTGCAAACTGCTTCCTTCTCAAAATGGTTTCTTCTTTTGCTATGTTTCCATAATTCCATACTCGCCTGTACTTCCTCCAACCTCAAAGGCCAGCCCCCTCTCAGTTTCCTTTGCTGGCTCTCTTGCTCTAGCCACTCTCCCAACGTCAAGAGTTCCTCCTCTTACCCTATACAACACACTCTCCCTATGTTACACTATCCATTCTCACATCTTGATATTATTATTACCTATTTAGTACTGCCGTCTCTTAACATACCTAAAAACCAAATTCACACACCTGTTCCACCCCCATTTCAATAAATACTACCATCCAATACTCAATTGTTCGTATCAAAAGTGGTGATGAAAATATTCTGAATTGAGAGAGTGGCAATGGTTGCACAATCCAGTGAATATAGTAAAAATTACTGAACTGCATACTTCAAAAGGGTAAATTTTATTAAGTGTGAATTATATTTCAATAAAGCTGTTAAAAAAATAAACAAAAATCAAGAGTCACTCATCTATTACTTTATCCAATCAATCCATTTATCAATAGGTTCTGTCTATTCTATCCTACCTCCCCAATATGTCTTAAATCCATTTCTTTCCAACTGCTCTGCAACCAACTGTTTTACTACCACTCTAGTGGCAACATCATCTCTCACCTAGTCTACTGGCCCCACTACATTATGACTTTAAGTACATTAAATTTGTATTCCTCCCTACTCTTCTCCTCCTATGTCCTTGCAACAAACCAGAGTCACCTTTTTAAACCCTACATTTACAGGTCATTTCCTGGCTTAAAACTCTTTGCAGTAGTTCCCCCCTTCTCCATGAGGGATATCTTCCAAGACCCAGTGGGTAACAAACCACAGACAGTAATAAACCCAGAACTCACAACTTAGTTATGAGTACAAAAAGCACAGTTTATACTTGAATTATTATTATTATTATTTATTTATTATTGTATTATTTGTCTTCTTCTTACTCTTATTATTATTTCATATCCTTACTTGTGATTTATCTCTTAGGTAATGTCTTTTTCCACACAAATAACTGTAAACCTATTTTTCCCCACCCCGTATACTGTTTTCCTATATATACATACCTATGATAAAGTTTAACTTATAAATTATGCACACTAAGAGATTAACAACAATAACTGATAATATAGAACAATTGTAACAATATACTCTAATAAGTTATGTGAATCTGCTCTCTCAGCAAACTAGCACAAATTTCTTTTTTCTTTTTTTGGTAGGGTGCAGATTTAATAAGGGAACTTACATAAAAGGTTTGTTTTGAGTGGCAACAAGTAGAATCTTAAGCGTATTTAGAGGCCTTAACTGAGTTCAGTATTGTATTCAGTCCAGATGGTCTCAATGTCTTACTCAGTTAAGGCTACATCCTTGAAAATGACTTCTACTGTGGGAACAGTAGGCAAAACGTACATTCTAAGGACAAGGGAGAGGATAAGTTGCCACCAATTGCCTGGGTCCAGCTCAAGGGTGAACTGTTGTATTCCTGAGCCTCTCATTATTGGAGGAAGTCATGGAGAAGCCTCCAATTGTCTGGGCCCACCTCAGGCACAGATTTCTTTTTCCTTCTTCACAATTTCATGGATAGCAACCTCTGTATATGATTATTTTTTCTTTTCCTATTTAGTAAAAAACTTTCACATTCTCACTTAAAGGAAGCACTTTGTAGCCCTGGCCGGGTAGCTCAGTTGGTTGGAACATCATCCCACACACCAAAAGGTTGTGGGTTTGATCCCCAGTTGGCGCACGTACAGGAGGCAACTGATTGATGTGTCTCTCTCTCGGTTTTTCTCTATCTCTCCCCCTTCCTCTCTCTCTAAAATCAATACAACAACAACAACATATCCTTGGGTGAAGATTAAAAACAGTAACAACAATTAAGTAAAGGAAGCACTTTATAGCTTCTCTTTGGCATATTCAAATTGGCATCAATACTCTTGCACTTCAGGGCCATCATTAAGTATATTAAGGGTTACTGGAACATAAGCACTGCCACACCGAGACAGTCGACTGACAACCGAGGTGAAAACCACGTGACTAATGGGCAACCAGCATATACAGTGCAGGTACTCTGGAAAAAGATGGAGAAAGGATGGAGCAGGACGGTGCTCAATTCCATCATGCTACTCAGAACAGCGTGAAATGTAAAACTTATGAATTATTTATTTCTGGAATTTTCCAGTTAACATTTCTGGACTGAGGTTGACCTCAGGTAACTGGATCCAAGGAAAACAAAACCACTGATAAGGAGGGTCTACTATTCTAAAATTTCCCTTTTATACTTTAGATTTCAGTTTGAATGTCACTATATTAGACTACATCTAAAGAAAGTTCCTGTTAATCTCTCTCATAGTACTGTATCTTCATAGCACTTATCATAATTTATAACTATAGACTTTATCCCCTGCTTAATCTGTTTAATGTCTACCGTTTCCATTAGACAATTCTTCTTTTCTTAAAAAATATTTTTACTGATTTTTAGAGTAAGAAGTAGGGAGAAGGAGAGAGAGAGAAACATCAGTGTGAGACCAAAACCCTGATTGGCTGCCTCCTGCATGCCCCCTACTGGGGATTGAGACCGAAACCTGGGCATGTACTCTGACTAGAAATCAAACTGGCAACCTTTCGGTGCATGGGAGAATACCCAACCAACTTGAACCACATTGGCCAGGGCTAATTCTTACTGCTTGATGTAGTCCTTACCACTAAACCTGGCAAAATTAGGTACCAAGTGTGTGTTAAATAAAAACACCAAAGAGCTCAAGTTCTTTTTAAATAAAGCAACCATTAAGTAGACCACTGTTTATTTTACCATTCTCATACTAAAAAATATTCATTTTGTTTTAATTTTTCATAATTACAAACAATGCCCTTTAAATATATTTGAATACACATACAGGTATTTCTATAGGACAGATTCTAGAAGTGGCATTTGTGTGTTTTTTTAATTAAGGAAATTAAAGAGTTGTCCTCTGAAGAGTTGCAATGATACACATCCATACTGTCCCTATTTCTTTCTTTCTTTTTTTTTTTTGATCGTCACATGTATTCTTTAATAAATCTTACTAGTATTCTTTAAGGGACAAACACACAGATGAGTAGCCTACAGTGAAGAAATCATATTATTTTTAAAAGACAGTTAAGAAGCCGCTAAGACACTTCCAGGTATTATCTTCAGTGATGCTTATCTTTATTCTGGGACTCCAGGTAATATACAGCCCCTACAGTCACCACAAATGCAGCAAATCCCCATTTGAATCCTTTTAATAACGCACCAACAGAGGAAACATTATTTGCAAAGCCACCCATGTATTTCTAAGCTTCAATCTGGAAGTTCCATTTTACTATGACCATGTTCATGTCCATGGGCCATGTCTGACAGCAATCTGACCTCTCAGGACATTCAATATTCAACCCCGCTATTTGTTTCTATAGTCTTCCACTAAATACTTTTGAACTATATAAGCTTTCTTAAGTTTAAAAGATTATTCTTTATATTAAATTTTATTCTACTCTTGTTTTTGTAACTAGTACTGAAATTAATTAGTTTTAATTAATAGATTTTTATTTTTGGACAACACAGAGAAAGTACCATTTCATGGGCTTAAATATTAATGGCATATTTCTTAATTTTTCTCTTTAATAAAGCACATTATTAGTAAATGGAGTAACTAAACGAGGAAACTAATACCTGTTTAAACAAGCTTATAGCTGAGGCATTTACTTTTGCCAGCTCCAATCACTTAAAAAAAAGTTTTGAACATTTTACTTACCATATGTGTCATATGGATCCACATTAGGGCTAGGCATATTCCACCACTGGATGGTTGCATCAATACCACCACTAAAACATTGCTCTCCATTAGAACTAATAGCTAATGATAGAACAGGGCCACTATTATAGGACAAAAAGAAAAAAATTACTTATAAAGCCTAAAAAAAAAATTCAGACCCACATCCCCCAACCTCTGAATTTCTATGGTATCTAAAAACTGTAATGTAAACATGTGCACTTGAATAGTAATGATTATATTCTCCTAATACAATTATTAATAAAATAGAATATTATTCAACTACTATCTTTTCTAATATAAAACAAACACTACAATTTTACAAGGTTTGTAGATTGATTAACTACAGTTGTTAAGTACTAATTCAATAAAACTTACATGTGGGCCCTAAATGTGTAGATAGGCTCTACATCTAAAGAGGCACTCCTAAAAGAGGGGGAGAAAAGGTTGGAGAGAAGACAAATAATCATTAACCACTGGTTGATATTCAAGAGTCATTAGGTAAGATCAAATGCATGCATACATGATATGGGACCATAACAAATAATTACTTATAATTATTGGCAAATCTGGAAGGAAAAAGCACAGGCTAACATTAAAATACTTACTTTTTGGCAGGAACTGTTTTTTGCAAGTTCCAAAGTTTCAGAGTATGGTCCTCAGAGGCGGTAACTAGCACAGGTTCTACCGGATGAAAAGCCAATGCCCGTACTCCATCAAAATGGCTACGTAGTGTATACTTGGGGTTCCATGTCTTTCGAAAGGCATCTTTATTGGCAGGCAACTAAAAAGAAAGATCACAGTATTTAGTGGTAAAAGTAGTAAATTGATAGACATGTGGAATTTTTGTTTGTTTTGGTGTGTTTAAGCATATATTTAAAATTGCTTTGCTAAACTGTCCAGTACAAATTTAATGTACCTTAAAGACTTTATAATAAAATAAATCTTTATCATTCAATAAGAACTAAGAATAATTTCATTAGCTTTCTAATACCTACAACAAATGGAGTCCCTTAATCTGTTTTACCTAATCATCAGGCTAAACCCAAAGGTCCTATTAAATGTCAGATGAGAACAAAAACACTACAATGCTGCAATATCTTACATGAAAACAATAAAAATTATATAAATTACTACCAAAAATCCAAGGGTACAATATTAACAGTACAGTTATCATTCAGAAAATTAACAATGTGAAGTTTTTAAAGGCAGCAAGTGAAGGTACTTCCCAAAAGTCTGAACTAAAGAACTTTAAGAATATTTTCATCATTGTTGACACTGATATGAGGTTAATCTTTTTATCTTCACTTCTCCATCTGTAAAGCTAGGCTGTGAAACCTCTTCCAAACTAGTCAAAAGTTTACTAGAATTTAGCTCCTTATGTATTTTAAAAATATTAATAATAATAATCCAGCCCACTGAGGCTGATGTCACTAAAAAGCAAGCTAATGTAAGTATAAAACGTAGAAAAAAATGAATTTGTTAAAAAAAGGAAAAATTTGCTGAAAAACTTCAAATTCCTAAATATAAAATCTAAACAAGTTTAGTTAACTCTCAATTGAATGTTTACTGTCTATAGAAAATTTAATCCAACACTAGTTTCACCTCTAACACTGTCCTTCCTATCCTCTCCCCATCTCTCAAATGAAGGGCTAAAAATCAGGAAATGGCAACAAGCTAACTTTAACATTATCCTTAAAAAAATAAAAGTTCAAAACTAAAACGTGCTTTTTAAGAAGTGTCCTGAAGGCAAATAAGTGATTCAGGCTATCTATTTTTCTCATTAACACTGAAATATAGCTTAATTTGAATAAATAATTGAGAGCTGACTACTCAAGACAGATCATTTATCTATTTTAAGATAATCAATCATCCCAAACTTCTAATCCATCACAATACCTAAGAAAAATTTGAACACCACAAAGAAACTAGATATAAAAAAACAAAAACAAAAAACTACATGTCACTTCAAATCAACATATTGAGACACAAACTTATCTTTTCCATGCACCTTGACATTAATTCTGTTTTATAAGTGTTTCCAAAAATAAGGAGCCTTCTATTAAATAATTAAAAAATTAAAAATAAAAAACTGCACTTACATCATAACTATAGTCTGCATCATTTGTTACCGTCAAGTCTGCAAGGTCTCCAAGGCCCAGTACACTTAACAAAACATCATCAGAACCCATAATAAATGACTTGCCTCCTCCAGATGGAAACGTTATTGGTTCAGCTATAAAGAACAAAACCGCTTCTTAAATGCTGAAAAATCATACAGTACAAGACAATATTGTGGGGGAAATGTAAGCACTTAACAGTTACAATACAGTAATATAAATTTTATTTTCCCACTTCCCTCCTTATTTCTCCCACTCAAAAAATCCTATTACTGAGTAGTAATAAATAAATGTTTATTTAGAAACTGCAACATAATCTTCCACAAATCAAATAAATGTACTCTAGATATATTATTTCAGGGTGGGAGGTGGACACAAAAGCTTTGTCCATTTAAATCACTTATCACTTTGGTACAATGATAACTATAGTATTTTTTAAATGTTGCAAATTGTTTCAAAGTCCTTTTGCTTTGCATCATATTTGCTTAGAAGCTAGGTATTCTATTCTCTGATAAAAATTAATATAAGCATTCAAATTAAATTGTCTCCATCTATAATACTGTGTTTATCAATTTACTGAAATGAAGCCTTAAACTGCTCAAATTCCTCCAATAACAGCAATGGTCTAAAAAGAGGGCAGTTCTACCATCAAAAATGTCAATTTTCTTTCTGCAGAATGTTAATCCATGTGATATTCAGAATGCCTTCCAGCTTTCAAGCTTTGACTATAGTGATTTTAACTTCCCTTTTATTTACCATGATACTTCTAAAATAATTATAGAATTTTAAATTAAATTTTTAATACTTTGAGCAACTAAAATCAAACACTGCCATTATTAGAATAACTATACTAATATATAAATATTTTGCTATTACAGTTATAGTATAAGCAGTAATTCTCAGTATCATTTCAAACATACTTTGAAAGCAAAAATTTAATCTTAAGATGCAAGGGGAAAGTATGTAAGTCATTGTAATACAAAACAACTCAACATATCAAAACATTTAAAATTCATGAGCAAATTTAAAAGGGAAACAGTATGTAAAAACTCAAGCTAATTATCAATTTTGAAAAATTCCTATGAATGATGATATACATTTAATACACTACAGGAAACATAACAGGTATAATAAAGCTTGTCAGTCATCATCAATACTACAGAAAATAACTGAGAAGATACAAGTCAAGTTTTCCTAGATATATACTACAGCAAAAGTAAAATTCCTCTATATTTAGAGTATCTTATTACTTATCAAAGTAAGCTATAATATAATGACTCAAAACAGGTCCTACATGACACTGCTAAAATGAAGCTGTGAGTCAGCAGTTGATCTAGAGTAAATATGATAAAAAATATACATAGGGATGCTAGTAGTATTTAATCTTTCAATGATTATATCTACTGAATCTGAATAATGTGTAGCACTGACCCCTTCTACCAACATCTACTATGCAGTTATTGGTAATACCAAAGCAGTTAAGAACAATAAAATCAATAGTCTAAAACTATGTTTAAGAACAATTATATAAAAATTCATTTGGTAATATTTACGCAAACCCTTTTTAGCCAGCACAAGGACAAACTTTTCTTTTAAGCTCGTAATTTGTTTATAAGACAAGTTAGAACAGAATGCCACAACTCCTCCCACTCACAATTATACACTCAATAACACAAATGTTAATAAAGTCTAATAAAATAACTTTACATAATAATACATTATTTTACATTATAACATATTCTTTTTACAGAGATATTTCTGATCAGTTGTTGACCAATTTAGGGACATGTGAAGGGAAGTGCCTGGGCTATACTGGCTAGTTTTATTGGAGTTTTAGATAAATTGTATTAAACAAAAAGTTAGTATTTATATCAATTTCTAATTAGTCATATGACTACATTTCTCAATCTCTATATTACACACGTATTTATTTTTATACAGCAAGCTATGCTGCTGACTCAGCATTTATTACATATACATATATATGTGTATGTGTCTGTGTGTATATATATATATGTATATGAAAATAATCTTTTAAGCCATATTTCTACTTTCCATAATCACCCATCACCACTGTGGATGTGATAATCACAGTAAATGCTCAATTTATTTGCCCTTGTTTGTGGAGGAAATTAATTTGTATTGTATAAATTCATTTTATTAATGTTAATGTAATTCCCAACAGCACGATTATTTAAGCATAAAAATGTCATTGGCAATGCAAAGAAAAATAAATTAAAAGCATTTTAATGATGAAAATTATGACACTTTTTATTAATAGCCTAAGAGATTTCATCAAGGAATTTAACTATGCTATTATCATTTCCCTTTATGGAAATACTAAGGTCCATAAATGGGATCTTACAACAAGGTCCTTTTGTAACTAATCCTCCTTTTTATGGACACTAATGACCAAGGAAGCCTGTAGCTCACCTATTAAACTCTTCTTTCTCCTTCAATTTTATCAAACCTAAAGAATGCAACCCAATAATGGATTCAATTTATGCCAGTGCTGACATGGTATATCTTAAGTCTTTACTAAAAATAGTCTGAAACGTTGTAATACAGAACTTTCTCTCTCTGAAAACACATTTTTGTCTTTAAAAAATGATGTATTGCATAGACTTTCAACAGGAAAGCATGAAGTTGGAGGTTTCCACTAAAAAAGAGTTTATGAACGCTAATGTTTCCTTCTTAGTTCTATGCAGAAGAATTTGCATCTTTTAAAATAAATTCTATTTATGCTTTAAAAGTACAATTAGATTTGTACTTATCTCCCCATTTCCTCCTCCTTCCATCATTAAGAGTTGTATCACTGACTTACATTTTTTTAAAAAAAGCACACACACATACGCACACAATAGAAACCTTTATTTAAACTGCTTTAAGTACAAAATCTGCACTTTAAGTGTACAACACGAACTACAAAAATTTTAGTAAGTTTTCCTATTCATTAATGGTAAAACAACCTAAAAGTTAAAGAAGATAAACCACCTGAAATGCATAAAAAAAGATAAACCACTTGAAATGCATAAAAGGAAAAATAATGAATTTAGTATGTGCATTTAGAAAATACTTCCAGATGTAAAACATGAAAATAGCTCAATATCAAGAAAGAGATCTGGGGGAAAAATCAATAGATTTCATTTTTCATGCATTAGTATGTTTTGTTTGGGCTTTATTATTTCTCACCATAATCTGTAATTCTCATTTGCAAGTATGACTCTAAGGGGCAAAAAGGCAAATTTACTTAACTTTAACAAAAATATGCTACTAGAGAATTAAAATAGAACAAGATGTATTAAAATTTTTTTGACTGGGCCATCAAACAAATTCTACTATATAGCAAAAGTACAAACACCAATAAAAAACTCAATCTATATGCCAAATTATTAGATACTTATATTATACATATCTCATGTATAACAAGCCTTTGGTAAGAATTCAGTCTCATTACTTAGAATTATAACTATCTGGATCTAGAATTATAAATTAGTGAAGTGTATCTATGTATCTTCAGCTAAAATCAATTTTGGGGGGAAAAATTCCTAAGTAGTGCTTTCATTTCCTACACACTTCTAGTTTCATTACCAAGTGTTATATACTTGGTATCAAGTTAATGAATAAGATGCTGTTTTATTCTAAAATGATGTTTTAAACTATTTTCCTGCTACTAGATCTATAAGCTAAAGTTAAATTTCCAAGAAGTACACTGAATTGACCCGTTATAGAAACAACTCCATTTAACATTAGCCGGTGTAGCTCAGTGGTTGGCGTGTCAGCCTGTACACCAAAGGGTAGCAGGTTCAATTCCCGGTCAAGGGCACATACCTGGGTTGCGGGTTTGCTCCCCGCCCCCACTCAGGGCACCCTTGGGCACGGGCGGAAGGCAACCAATCCATGTCTCTCACACTGATGTTTCTCTTCTCTCTCCCTCCTTCTGAAAAGTAATGGGAAAAAATATCCTCGGGTGAGGGTTAACAACAACAAAAAACAAACAAAAAAAAACAAATCACAGAAGCCAAAGAATTCAAAAATCCCTAAGAAAATTACATAAAGAGCTTGCCCAACATGTTCTGTGAAGATCACTTAAAATCATCTTCAGCATTTTAAAACAGCAGCAAATGTATAATACTAAGGAGATGTGACTCGGAATTAACATCTTCTGCAATGTAAATAAAACGGTAGCTAAATTTTGTACCTTCCTCTGCTCTTGCACCTTCATGATCAGTCCTCTAGTAGAGGCTGACCTAGACTGATTAATGATTCCTGAAGGGACGTGGGGCAGCTCATTATGTCCCAGATCAGCTATGATGTTGCAAAGTTTTGTCCTGTTGACTCCTGTAAATTAATGTCAGCAGTAGAGGTTCTTTAAATGGCTACTGCTTGACTTGTTCGCAGCCTTTAAAACCAATTTACTAGCAAAACAGGATTTTAAAGAAGTTCCAGTTACAAAAATCTCAAACAATTAAAGATGTCTTCAATTTTCCATGTCATCCCCTCAAAATATTAAAATTATTTTAATACTTAAGATACTCACTATTTCTGTGAATGTATAAATATACTATAAATATATCCAGTTTTATATATATAAAATTGAGCCTTCTGTCATTCAACTAAAGTTCTGTAAGTTCACAGACACAGAAGGTACCATTAAAGCAGTAAGAAATGTTTGTGTTTAAGGTTAATATTTAAAAGCAAAGAATAAAGCATGAGTTTTCCCAACTTAATTGACTATTTTGAAAAGTTAACAAAGAAATAAGTACAAGTGATTTTTTTATGAGGGTGGAACAAACAATTAACTTGGCCTGGTATTTATGTGGATATTTTCCTGCCACATTCACACAAATCTGTCATTAACAAACCAACCCCAATTATTCTCAAAATGTTTTTTCACTTTTCCCAAATTTGAAAAACCTGATTTACCCATAAACTCTGATTTTCTCATAAAAGTATGAAAAGTCAACACTGTCATATGCCATAAATTTAAAGGGAGAATTTCAGCTGCTGCCTGGATAATTCAGGCACAAATAGGAAAACTCAAAAGCCATTTGCAGTATTGTGGGATCTCTGTTTTAACTTTGAACTTTAGAAATGAAAAGAGCACCATTTATCT